CGCCATCTATCGACAGCCCGTGATATCGCGAGGAGAAACTAACTCTCGTTACAGTTACTCTCGAGGTCGAGGGAGGGTTAAGGGAGAGTATCATCGAAAGAAGCGGTCGGGAAAGAGTAACTTCCATTCAGATAGAGTTAAAGGAGAGTAAGTTAGGGCACTTACTCTCCCTTGACACCTTTTTTTTTTAGAGTGTACTGGGAAATGCCACCCTGGGAACGAATGCGTTAGAGGGTGCCCAAGAAAAACGGGAAATGCGGAGACAGCTGCTCAGTGAACAGATGCTATCGCAGTTTGTCGGAGGACTTCGAGACCCTATTAGGAGGTTCACCCTTTCGCGGGACCCCGATACGTTTGACGGGGCAATCGAAATCGCGTTGAAAGAAGAACGCAACGAACGCATCGTTAACGGTGGCACACAGCCGGTACGGCGGGTTGAGGGGCCCAATATGGCTCAGGACGAAGTGCGCGAACGTTTGGAAAGGCTCGAGAGGCTATTTGAACAGAGTTTGTCACTTCGTGGTGCGGCTGGAGCCAGTCAGAGGCGTTCTCCACCGAGAACACCTCGAAAGACCAATTCAGGTTGTTTCGTATGTGGGACGTTTGGCCACTTCGCGCGGTCGTGCCCACATCGGCACCGCGACGGCCGAGCCGACATGAGGCAGATTGAGGATGGGGACCAGGGAGAAGCAGGAAATCACAAACCTCTGGGATCACGGGCTGCCCATCAGCCGGGAAACTAGAGCGGCCCCTCTCTGAAAACCGCAGAGAAGGGGCAGTAGAGGAGCTCGTGGTAAATATTTGTGGAGAAACGAGCCCCATTGTTGCGTGCAAAATCGGTGGCGCCATGGTCCATTGCCTTATTGACACCGGGTCAAGGATAAGCCTGGTAAAGAAGGGAACCCTAGACGTCATTCTAAAGGACTGGCACAATGTCCTTCCGAAAAGGGACAGAGCGAGAAAGCTGGTGGGAATCACGGGCGTCGCACTAGGTACTGTCGGATGTTTTGAGATCCCGCTCACGTTGGGCGGTCATGAGATTAGACCCGCGTGCTTCGTTTGTACAGACGGGCTCGTGTTGCCTGTTGCGGGAATCATTGGCCAAGATGTCCTCCGCGGAGAGGACATCGACTTACTCCTCAGTGAAGACATCTTGCGCATTGGGAATGCAAGAGTGGAGATCACTAACTGGGCCCACCAGGTGAACACGGTCGAGCCAAAGCTGGAGGAGGTAGGAGGGGCCCAGGCGACAGTGACTCTTTTGAAGCCCTGTGTCCTGCCCCCTCTGAGCGAATGCCTTTTTCAGGGGAAAGTAAGCTTGAGTAGTGTAGCGGGAAGACTCGGTGTGCTCGAGACTTACGACCTAGGGGTAAATGGCGTTGTCGGCGCTCACGCACTCGTGAAGACGTGGGAGGACGCGACGGTTCCGGTACGACTGGTGAACGTCACGTGTCAGGAGATACGCCTCCCACAAAATAAGGTCGTGGGGACGCTCGTAGACGCTTACGAGGTTGGTCCTGTCGGCCCAGATGCTTGGGCTTGCAAACGGATAGAACAAGTAGACTTATTGGATGATTTCGACTTCTCACATATTACGACAGAGGAGAAGGCCCGCCTGCTCGGACTCATCGACCAGCACCGAGACGTGTTCTCCTCGAATCGGTCAGACCTGGGTCGTTGTGAGGCCGTGAAACACAGGATTTCGACAGGGGAGGCAACACCCGTTTACCGGAGAGCCTACAGAATCCCGTACTCGAAAAGGGAGGAGATGGAGGGGCAAGTCGATCAACTGCTCGTGAAAGGGATTATCGAACATTCCACGTCTCCTTGGGGTGCGCCTGCCTTGCTGGTTGAGAAACCCGAAGGCTCTTATCATTTTGTTGTTGACTACCGCGACCTAAACAAGGTCACCCGTGTGGATCCTTATCCATTGCCGAACATACAGGAGACCCTGTCCCAACTTGGATCTGCGCGACGTTTCACGGTAGTTGACATGACCTTGGGCTACTGGCAAATCTAGATGGACCCTCGTGACCGTGAGAAAACGGCCTTCAACACGCCGTCGGGACATTACCATTGGACCAGGATGCCGATGGGGCTGGTGAACAGCGCGGCTGTGTGGCAACGCACAGCCGATGTCGTGCTCGCAGGCCTGCTAGGTAAGATATGCTATGTATATCTAGATGATATTATCATCTACAGCAACAGCCTAGAGGAGCATCTGGAGGACTTAAAGACTGTTTTCCAGAGGGTAAGGGCCGCTGGTCTCAAGCTCAAGCCGTCGATGTGCCAGTTCCTGAAACCCGAGGTCAAATACCTGGGTCACATTGTGTCAGCAGAAGGCGTACGGCCGGACCCAGCTAAAATCGCGTGCGTTCGTGATTTTCCTGCTTCCAAAACAAGACGGAGGTGCGTCGGTTCCTAGGCCTCATGACCTACTACCGCCGACACGTGCCGCACTTCGCCGAGGTGGCACGGCCCTTAACGCAGCTCACCGGCAAGAAGCCGTTCGCATGGGGAACAGATGCCGGAGCGGCCTTCGAGGTCATGAAGCAGAAATTGACGGGGGCGCCTATCCTTCGATTCCCGGACTTCTCGCAACCGTTCACACTGGCCACGGACGCCTCCAAGTTCGCCGTGGGAGTGGTGCTATCCCAAGAATTCGACGGCCAAGAACACCCCGTAGCATACGCGAGTCGGCAGTTGAACAGAGCGGAGCAAGCCTACGGGGCTACGGAATAGGAGTGTCTCGCTGTCGTGTGGGCCGTGAGGCACTTTCGCTGTTGTTTGTATGGACGCCATTTCCATATTTTGACCGACTGCCAGCTACTGAAGTGGCTTATGAGCACGAAAGACCAGAACTCACGGCTTGCGCGTTGGAACCTGCGTCTACAGGAGTACGACTTCGAAATCGTGCACCGTTCGGGGAAGACAAACCAGAACGCTGACGCGTTGAGGCGGGCAGTGGTGAGAGAGGTGAACGTGTTCCTCCCGTCAACCGATGGGTGGAGAGTGAGGGAAGAGCAGCGGAAAGACGCCTGCCTCCGCGCTGCGATTGCCGCCTGCGAGGCCTCGGATGAGAACTGCAACGGGCAGTTATACCTCGACCAGGGTGGGCTGCTCAGACTGCGAACAGACAGACCAGGAGAGACTGGGAGGATGGTGATCCCCAAATCGATGGTTGGCGAACTGCTGAGAGTGCACCACGATGCCCCTTGTGCCGGTCACCCGGGCGCCAGGAAAACGAGACAAAGAGTTGCAAAGCAGTACTTTTGGCGCGGCATGAGGCGAGACATCGTGGAGTACTGCAAAGCATGCAAGTCGTGCAGTCTACGGAAGACACCCAAGGGTCGAAGGCCGGCACCTTTTCAAGAATTCGGGCAGCTCAGCAGCCCGTTCGAGCGCACTGCTATGGACATTGTCGGGCCGTTGCCCGCCACCACTGCCGGGAGCAAATACATCCTGGTCTTTGTGAACCACTTAACTCGATTCGCAGAAGCATTCCCCATGCCTGATCAAAAGGCCGAAACTGTGGCTAGAATGTTCGTCGAGGGCGTAGTGTTACGACACGGAGTGCCGGACCAACTCTTAACCGATCAGGGTGCAAATTTCACCTAGCGCCTAATGAAAGAGGTGTATGAGTCAATTGGAATCTCCAAGCTGCAGACGACCGCCTACCATCCTGAGTGCAACGGCGCCGTCGAAAGACTGAATCAAACCGTTATCAAGATGCTGGGACACTGGGGTGCATGACCAGCGTGATTGGGACCTGTGGCTCCCCTTCGCGCTGTTCGCTTACAACTCTGCCTCCCACGATAAGCAGGGAATCTCCTTTTTTCTTGCTCTACGGTAGAGATGCGGTTGTGCCCAGCCTGGCTCGCACGGCACCCGCAGCGAACTACGGGACCTTGGAGAACTACAGATCCGAGCTCGTACAGCGACTGGCGATATCACACCGGCTGGCATCGGACGCGCTTGTTCAGGCGGCGCAAACAAGAAAAACTCGGCATGACAAAACGAGCAGGGACCCTCAGTACAAATTAGGAGATGCAGTCTACCTACAGGTGGCAGCGCATAGGCGGGGAACCGCGCGGAAGCTCGCCCCCAGTTGGTGTGGGCCTTTCCGCATTGTGGAGGTGCTTTCCGACATCACCTGTAGAATCCGGAGAATCGGGGAACGAGAGGGAAAGATCGTTCATGTAAATAGGCTCAAACCCACGCACCTTTTCTTTCCCAGCGAAAGTGCGAGCACTCGTCCGGTAGACGAACCCCCTTCCGCAGCAGAGAGACAGCGGGCGCCGAACCCTGCAGACGTCACTCTCCGTGAATCGCAGGCTGATGCGACACTGGGGGCCGGCGTCGACCCGTTCTCTGCGGCATTTGGCATGCCGATGCCCATTGCGACGCATGGGTACTCACTCAGGAGCCGTGATTAGGTGGGAGTCTCCGGGCATCGCCGGCAGCGAGCAATCGTAGAGGGTATAGATATAATTTAATTGATGTCATTTTTGCAAAATTTTCGTCCTTTTTTTTTTTGAGTCACCTGTGTCTTAGTGCGCCATTTTAACGCTTTAACGCCTCGCTCTTTTGGTCTTATCGGTGCTGGCGTGGCTTACGTTGCTGTTCGTCACTCATCGTTATTTTGGCTGTGTGTGCTCTTCTTTTCGGCCAATGCACTTGACTGCTGAACTCCAGAAGTTTTCCTAAGCGGAAGAAAATTTTTTTGAAGTTGGAGCGGTTGTGACGTCGTCCAGGGTGGTGGTTGGAGACGCCGGCGCGGCGCGGGCAAGTTCGGACGCGCGCGGTTGGGGGTGACACATGGGAGCGGGGAGGGCACGGACAGGAAATGGAGAGAGGGGGTCAGGGAAAACTGGAAACCGATGAGGGACAAGGAGAGAGGGAGGCCAGCCGGGCCGAACGTGGGAAAACAGGACTCTCTTGGAGGGAAGCGAGTCGAAGGCGGAGGACGGGTTTTTGGGATGTGGGCAGCGAAGAACAAGGGAAAGTGATCGCGACGTGCGCGGTGAAACGTGAGAGCCAGCGCAAGAGCACAAGAGGAAGGCGTGCATCGACGGACATCCGAGCAAGCCCGATTCGCCGCATCCTGAGCCTCCTCGGTACAACCTGCCCGTCGAACCAGAGGCACGTTGATGACCGGTCCTTCCAAGTTCCTTCTCCCAAGAAACCCCTGCGACGGGACACCCAGAACACTCCGGGCGAGAGGTGAGCAACAGGCGGCCCCAGCACCGATATTAACATTCAGATTATTCTGTTGCGACTAAATATCGTCTTCTCGCTTCTCTTCTCCTCAGCGTGGACCCACCACAAAGTATTTGTGCTACCCCTACTGGGGTCGTCACACTGTTGCCGCGATGTGACAGGTTTGTCGGACAACACGGGGAGCGAGCAACAAGTTGCCCGACGGATGAATAACGTGTTTTGTTGAGGTTTGCGTCGTGTTGCCTCAGTGTGTCAGGGCCTTTAGGGGTACATTGCGGTAGGTGCGGCTGCGTGTCTTTCTTTGTTCAATGACTTGACGATCCTGGAGCGTAACAAAAAGAAGACCGCCAGATATATTCGAATGCCCTTTCTTCTTTTTTGTCAAGGGGGAAAGGGAAATGTGTTTGCACAACGTCGATGCACTTGAGGGCTGACGAAGTCCTTTTTACCAAGCACTGTGGCAAGCACGCGGGAAAGACATATGAGTAGTAGAAGTATTGTTATCGGGTTGTATTTCTGTGTTTTGTTTTATTCTTTCCTCTCTGCTTCCGGGGTTTGTTTTTTGGTTTCTCCTGAAAATTAAACTTTCAGTCGGCGCCGTGTCCGTGCACTACTTTCACACGTCCTTTGTTATCCTTTTTGTGCTGTTTCCACTTGTGTACCTTTGAATGTTGGTTTTGACACACCTTTCCTTAACAGATTTCACAAAAAAATAATATTTGAATTGTGCGAAACTAAATAGCACATCGGTCACTCGAAAATATAGGTGGTCGGGGTAGCGAAAAATTCGCCGGTGTACGGTTAAACATTTAAAGTAAGGAGGCAAACAATAAAAAGAAATGCGTCGGCCGGGAATCGAACCCGGGCCACCCGCGTTGCAGGCGAGTATTCTAACACTGAACCACCGACGTTTTTTTTTTTTTTTACGTAGTGTCTAGCGTTACGTCCGACGGAACCCGATATAAAAATTAAAGTTACGTCCGACGTAACTTTACGTCAATGGTTTGAGGTACGTCCGGCGTAACTCAATATGAAGATTAAAGTTACGTCCGACGTAACCCATTATGAAGATTAAAGTTACGTCCGACGGAACTCGAAATAAAAAGCAACCTTACGTCCGACAGGACCCAAAAAGATACGTCCGTCGTAACTTTACCCTAAGGTTTCGAGTTAAGTCCGACGGAAACAAGTTACGGCCTTTGTAACCTACGGAACCTTACTGAATGTTACGCTTTGTGGCAGAAACACGACGTAAACATAAAATATTATTAATTACTTTCGCATTACGTCCGATGCAGCGTTGGTTAATTGGTCAAAATCGCGCCTATTCGTACCTCCGGGTTTGTTGAGGGGGTTGGAGTGTGTTCCTCGTGTGTAGAGGCTGCGTAGGACGGCCGTGTTCCTCGCCTTTTTTCCTCACCTTTCAGCAATCTTTTTCTGCTTTAAGCGGATTTTTTTTAATCTGTTTTTCGATATGAAACCACTTCTTCCTAGACGCGACACACACACACAAAAAAAGAAAACATTAACAAAATGGAAACCGCAGCACGCGTGCTGCGAGCCTGAGACCCTGAGATATCAGTGTTGGGGCGTTGGTTCGTACGACAGATTGAGGGCCCATCGTCTCGCTTAAGTGTCTAAAGCCGTGATCTAGAAAATGAGCCGTGATCTATAAAAACCGTGTTCCTCGTATGACTAGACAGTTTTGATGCTAGTACGCCTCCACGGGTAACTTGTCTAGCTGTAGATGAGAAAGTTAGCCGTACAACCGCTAGCCTGGGGTCTTTACGTGCACAACGCAGTTGTGATCACTCGAACGCGTACCGGTACTACGACCTACGCCGGTACGAAGCTCATTCAGGTCGAAACGGGCAGCGGGTGGGGGTCAATTTATTTTTTATTTCGAGTTCCGTCGGACATAACTTTAATTTTCACATTGGGTTCCGTCGGACGTAACTCGAAACCTTGGGGGTAAAGTTCCGTCAGACGTAACTTTAATTTTTATTTGGAGTTCCGTCGGACGTAACTTTAATTTACATATTGGGTTACGTCGGGACGTAACTCGAATCTTTACGTAAAGTTACGTCGGACATAACATTAATTTTTATTTCGGGTTCCGTCGGACGTAACGCTAGACATTGCGTTTTTTTTATTTATTGCCGGTTTGGCACATAAACGTAGTTAAACAATCGCACAAAATTGGAAGGTTAAAAGCATCCGGCACGACCTAGCCGGCGCACATGGTTTAAAAAACTCTCAGGGCGACAAGACTGTCTAACACTGGCATCCAGTCAGGCTGCTCACTCTGTACTTTATACAATTCTCGTAAGTTAACAATATGCTCAATAAAGTAATCCCGTACGGGGCGAGCATCGACGTCAGCATGTCGCACAGTCATCCTCCATTTCCACATGTTGTGCAGAGCCAAGGCAATCAACATGTCATAGGGAACACACCCTTCACTTTGTGCAGGAAGAAATCGGATGCCATAGGATGACACTGGTAGACTCTTTTTTAAAGTACGCTGCATAATGTCTCAGTGAAATACCGCATCCCAGCAATCCAAGAAAATATGATCGATAGTCTCAGGTTTCCGGCACAAGAGGCAGTTAATCGACCAACGAACAAAAATGCCTTTTTTCTTCAAGCCAGGGCTTAACGGGAAGCGTGCTGGTGTGCAGCTGAAAAAATAACGATTTCACGGCTGGCCTTACTGGCATCCGTTTAACCCTTTTGAGGACATCCTGACCCGGGCCCTCACAGGAAAGAGACCGATACAAGGGCACGGGGAAGACCACCTCAACTAAGTCTTTGTACAGGCGCTTTCGTGTAACTTCGCTTAAGTACTCCAACGAAAATCGGACCTTGAGAAAATGGAAAGCCAAAATCACTTCGCGCAGAAAACCTCGAACTCGCGTACATCTGACATCACTCGAGGACACAACAAACTCAGACAATGCATTACGGAGCCTAACTTGTAATACAGTCCACAGAAAAGGATTCCCCTGATCCCGCAGGAACATAAATCTTGACACCACTTGCCTCAGAAACAGATGAGCCAGTCCTAGCCCGCCACTTTTCACAGAGCGGACCAAATTTGTACGACCGGTGCGCTCCCACACCGACCCCCACACAAAAATCGCGAACACTCGGTGGAACTTTTGAACGCTGACTCTAGACATACACAAAGCCTGGAGCACATATCAGACTTTGGCCGCAGTAAACAAATTACAAACTGTGGAGCGGGAAAACATTGAAAGATTTAGACCCCCCGACTTTGGCGTTTTATCCCGAGCCTTCTCGACTTCTTCCCTCCAGAACTCAGTAGAATCGCGATAGTGCTCAAGCGGCACTCCGAGGTACTTGCCCGGCAAACAAGACCAAGTAACTCTTTCAAAAACAGCTGGTGTACTTTCCCAGCTACCATGCCAGTAGCCCACGCATTTATCCCAATTGATAACACTGCCCGAAAATTTACAAAAATTAAGTGCTTCTTTGACTACCTCGCAAACACTTTCTTTGTCGTCGCAGAAGACAGCAATGTCGTCTGCGTACGAAAGTACGTTGACTTCGCTCGACAACAGCCTAAAACTGCGTATTCTTTCATATAAAAGAAGTTTTAAACAAAAAGCCTCTAAATAGAGAGCAAACAACAATGGCGATAATGGGCACCCTTGCCGTACCGAGTAGAGGACTTGAAAACTTTCAGTCACTTTCTTATTAACAATCACACTCGCAAAACACTCCGCGTAGGACATTTTAACCCATTCCAGCAATAAAGACCCAACGTTCACGTGCTCTAAAATACAAAAAAGGACGTCGTGTGCTACTCTATCGAACGCCTTTTCCAAATCAAGCTGCAACATGGCTACGTGACCTTCGAAAGCATCACAACATTCCAAGATACTTCTTGCTACGTGTATGTTAGTTGCAATCGTTCGCCCCTTGATGCCACATGTTTGGTGGGGCCCGACGATAGATTGTATTACAACTTGCAGCCTTCGCGCTAAGACCTTCATGACGATGTTATAGTCAACGTTTGTTAGGCTAATGGGACGGTAGGACTTAACAGACAACAGTTTCGCGGGATCATCACTTTTGGGGATTAATACTATATGCGTTTTCCGGAAGGATGGAGGCACTGCTTTTCTATCGTACGCCTCCGCTATCGTGCGGTGCAGGACCTCGGCCACATCAGCTTTGAAAACCTTGCAGAAGGCGGCACCTAAGCCGTCGGGACCGGGTGATTTCCCTGGGTTCAGTTCGTCGATAGCCTTCTCTATTTCTCTCACGTTAATCGGTGCCTCAAGGCCGGCTTTAATTTCGTCATCTAATTTTGGCATCAGTGGCAAAAGGACGCTGGCAAATCCTTCTTGCACGTGTCTGCGGCGACCCGAAAGGTCTTGGTAATATTCCACGAAGGCGCGTTCGATGGCCTTTTTATCGCACGTCACCAGGGCCCCATGCTCTATTTCTTTTATTTCATTTTGCGTCGCATATCTTTTCTCATCCCCAAGTGAACGCTTTGTCGGCGTTTCACCCAACCACAGACGTTCGGCGCGGGCTCTTATCACGGCTCCTCTATATTTTTCGACATCGATAAGCTCCAGTTTACTCTTTACTTCTTTTATTTCTCTTGTAAGCTTTCCGGGTTGTGCACATTCAACGCTTAAAAGGAAATCTAACTGCCACTGTAGCTCTTTTTCTTTTTGGTTTTCTTGGCGGCGTAAAATACACGATCTTTCAATCGCGCTAATTTTGACTTCGTCTTTAAAGTGCTCCCACAGTTCAAAACAGGTTCCCGACTCAGCCTCCAGCAATTTCCCAATGCTTTGTTTTACCCCGTCCATAAAAATCTCATCTCTCAGTAGCTTATCATTAAATTTCCACAATTCCCAGTTGAAATGCAATTTTGTTTCCTTCGTTCCGATTGAAAACATTATCAGGCTATGATCACTGAAAGAAACGCGTTTCACTTCGTAATTCTCGCACAGGGGAACCAG